TCTTTGCATGCAAGGTTGAATATTTCATATTATTCACGTTAAGCAACATAAACCAACAGTCTCAGAGACGTAAACTAGTTGTCGCATTTACACAAATAAAATGTCGCCCCTGTCAAAATTTTACAGAAACCAGTTGTAGCACCTACAAAATGAATTTGCTAGTTAATGGCATATCCCATGGAAATAATTCATTAAAAGCACATTTTTGTGTTCTGGGCATTAAATAACGTTGAATTAAAATTAGATTTCTCCACTTAGCTTTCCAATTAGTCCTGTAGCACTTTATGCATCATTCGAATGCGAGTACATGAAAAACACGAAGCAAACAACCATTTCCATGTAATGTTTCGATATTGAGAATGATATGGAGATAACGAACAGTATTCAATCTCAAAGTCCATTAAACAACATACAAAATAAGAGCAGAGCAAACTCGGACCTCCGAAACATCAGAGGTGGGATAAGGTGCCATGGAGGAGTGAGCATCCCCTGCTGACCGGTCACACCCGCCGTGTGCTCGTTGTCATGATAAGGAAAGAACGGAAAAAATCCGTCGTCAATTCAGTGTATAAATAATGGACTAACAATTGGTATGAAAAACGTCAGTCAGCATTTGACTCGATGATAAATTGTATTTGCTGACAAGGTCATTGTATCGACCACAGAACTTACGAAGTTTTTCGGGTATAGAAGCAGTCCAATCGCTTAACTATTTCTAAAATTTGCTTTAAAGAAAGTGATTTTTATTGTGTTATATAAAAAAAAAATATGCATTAAACATGGTAATTTACAAGAGCCAATATATAGTAGTTGGTGTCCGAAACCAAGATTTTCTCGATTCGCACTTTACCAGCAGTGAGTCTGATTCTTCGGATTTTTTATTGCTAGGGTTCGAATCCCACGAATACCATCTAATATTTTTATAAATGAAAAATGTTTTACGATATTTTTTCTCTCAGAAAAGTTTTTTCTCTCATAATTTCATAAATTTCGATAATGAGATGTTGATTTAATTATTCAATTTACATATTGAATATAATTTCAAATATCCGATGCTAAATATATAAGCATTCTGCCCGCCTTGTTCCCCCATCGTCTTTGCAACAAAAAATTCCAACACCAAGGTTGCAGCTCATATTGCTTTAAATAAAATATCAGCTTATATACCTCCATACATACATGTATATTACGAGTGTTTTTCAATGTGCGCATTATTAAATTTGTACTTTGATTTTTAAACTGTTCATAAATATTTCATTTTATTCTATGTGATTTTAAACTTTTATGTTAGGGGATTTTTTTTATGGAGGGGGGCGTATGGTACTTGTAATTGTGAAAATAAAAATTCGCATTCGGGAAACAAACTTGCCATATTTTTTCCTCGAACAGGAAATAATTAGCAAAGTGATTAAGAGGGCCCACTCTGTGAGACACAGGAAGAGCTTACATATTTACCTGTAAAGAAACAAGATTAATGAAGAAAAATAATTAATTTTGTGTTTTGCATAACAATCATCAGAATTCATTATTATGATTATACATGAATGTAATGATTACTTACAGGTTCTGCTCAAATTGTGATACCTGCGTATGCAATTTATTATAATTTTAATTCCAAGCGGGAATTCTGCTGATAAAGAACAGAAGGGAATAGTAAATCGTGTGCATAAGTAACAAATGTATGTGTATAATAACATGATATTTTCTTCTATAAAGCTGGGTTAGCAACATTAGATTTAAGATTTTCACATAAAGAAGACCGAGTCGGATTTTAAGTATTTTCCATAAGGAAAAAGACTTGCCAAGAAGTTCGATACATTTTTAAGCATTTAGATTTCCGACAGTGTTTTCTGCATTTTGACACTTCTTTCTTTAAACATGCTTGTAGTTTACCTCATAATTTTTTTTTAACTTAATTTAAAATTGCACTGTGTAATACTGCAATTTGAAAAAAAAATTAATTAAATCTACCAATTAATATGAATGAGATTAAATGTAGAAGCATTTGATTTGAAACTTTTTTTATCAGTATAGGTAAGGTATAGGGACATGTACTACCATTATAATAAATATGCTCAATACGTCTCTGGTATATAATGTTATTCTTCTCTCTTTTAACTAATGAAATGAATGTTTCATTCTAATATGTTGACGATGCAACCGTAATCTGCAATACGGACAATTTACGGACAAGGTGAAATTGTTTACAGATTGTTTTATTTTTATTAAGTCTGAAAATTGAAAGCTATTGTTTTCCTATATTTAAGGAATCAGTGGATATGCCTTATAGAATTGTTGTTTTTATCCGTTGACTGCTTTATGGAAAGTGCAATATCAATTTGGAAAGTGCAATATCAATTTGATTTAAACTGTGTGGACATATGTTGCTTCTATACCCATAATTATATATTCAGACTTTCTTTGCTGTGATCATTGCTCAAATTTGGAAAAAAAAAATACATATTTTTAGATTATCCCTAGCAAATTACATGTATGATTGAAGAAATTGAATGTCAGAGTATTTTTTTTGGTGTTATCCTGAATCAGTATTCAAGAGAAGTTGCAATATAACATAGTTTTTAGTGATTTTTTGAAAAATGTTATGGATAATGGTATTTCTGATTTTTTAAAAGCATTATCAAAAACTGTGATATATTGTTTATAATAATTTTCTTTCATATACATTTATAATGTACCTGGGTATTCCGTCCAACATAAATTTGATTTTAATATTAATTTTGTTTTTTGCCTTTCTTTGAGAGAGAGAGAGAGAGAGAGAGAGAGAGAGAGAGAGAGATGGCAATAAATTGTTACTGTAAATTGAGTTGCAAAAATATAATCATACAGTTACACATATATACAATATAGTAATGCTAAAAAAAGTTGAAGTATTGAATTTGGTGTATAATGGAAATGTTAAAATAACCAGGCATGCAATTCACCTCACTTATACTTATGATTTAGCTGGTATTGTAGTTATCATTCACAGTATTTGGTATAAAATGTTTTTGCAGTATTACTATCAAAAAAAATCTTGTAAAACAGTCTAGTAAATCTAGAAAAAAAGTGAACACAACCTCTTGCATTGGAAAAAAAAATGATAAGTTTATGTATATTAAAAATATTTGTTTGAAAGGTTCAGAAAAATTAAATAAAAGGAAAGCATGATCTTGGCATGGTTTAAAAAAAATTATGAGGATTAATATAAAGAAGAAAAACACAGCTCTGTAAATCTGTAGAGATTTTTCTATTGATAAATTGGAAGAAAATTGGTATTTTGCAAAATCATGTGATGTAGTTCACAATGATTGATTTATTAAGGTTCAAAATCATGTAGATTATTCCTTTATAAATTTGTAGTTCACAATGCTATAATTGTTTGTATTTTATTATAAATACAGAAAATCATATTTTTTATATGAGAGCAGAAGGTTTATGAACCTTAGATTGATTATTTATTTGCATAGATAATAAGAACATAAAATTAGTGATTTTTTTTAATCAAAGATCAAAGACACAAGTTTACAGTATTTTTGGAGACAGTGTTGAATTTATTTGATTATAAATGTTTCATTATTATTTTTCTGTTTGGATGATTTGTGTTATGTGATATATATTTCTGTTGAAAAATAAAGATTTGTTAACCATCATCAACCAATCATACTGAAGAAAATCAAAATTGGCATCAAAGTTGAATGAAATTTTTAAGAGGAGATGATAGCATGAACCTCTGGGAATCTTTTCCTCTGCTTAAAAATTTTCAGATGATAAACTTAGTTATTTTATTTAGGAAATGTTTTAATGGTATGAAAAAAATGAAAGACTATCAATATTTCTTGGAGGAGTTAATGGCTGTTTTCTACAAATCTGATTCGATTTCCCTAAACAGGGAGTTTTCTACATTGAATATCACATATCTATCATATATATTTCATGATAAAGAGATCCTCTAAAAAAAATCAAAGAATTTCATTAAAATACTTAAAAAATGTACATGTTCATAGCAAACAAAATGTTAAAAATGAGGAAAAGTGATGACACCAGTTAAAGGACTAATGCATGTATTTGTTCACCGAATTTCTTTTTATTTTATCGAAAATTAAGAAATGTGAAGTTAAAAACGTTGAAAACCAGAACATGGTTCATATTGGGGTTATTTTTATTGGTTTCTCACAATACCTAATCACAATGTCTTTGGTAAAAGTATTTCATTGAAAAGTAATACATTAAAGTACTAGGAATTCAAAATTCAGTCACGTGTAAGCATTTCCTTGAATACTCTTTATACTTTTGATGGTACTACAGCTGTATATGCACATGACCTGTATTCGAGATCAAGTCAGTCAGTTCAGAATTATTTTAGATTTAAGCATGTATAATGCGTGGTACATTAGTAATTTACAGCTATAATACAAGGAATCCAAATTTTCAATTCGATTTCCGATTCAATTTTTTTTTTACAAGATATATCAATGAATATTAATGAATTTGTCCTGGTGAAATTAGTTAGACCTGTCTTAGAGATCAAGTACATGTACCAGGCAACCCAGTATTGCATGCATGTATTATAGGTCTATACATGTATTAATCGTTGTACATTTGTATTTTACAACTATAATACAAAAAATCCAAATTTTCAAATCCGATTCGTTTTTACCCCCCCCCCCCCAAAAAAAGACAGTACTCCGAATATTCATTAATAAAGCGTTATAATCGAACCCATTACTATTATTACATGCATACTTTTTAGCTTTTCTTCTTTTCATAGCTCAGAAATATACAAGATCAAGTCTAGTTACCGGTGCTCAAGATTTATTTTGTTAATAGAAAAATGACAGTGACAATTTCAGCGTAAATACGTTCATCCAGGTTTTCAATAATAGCCCTGAAAAAATTAAAAAGGAAGATATAATGTTAAATTTTTATACTCTCAAAATAGCATGTTTTTTGGAAAATAAAACAAGAATAAAATCATTTATTACCATAAGAACCAACGCAGTTTATTCTATTACCTTGATTCCTACAACAGAAGAGATTCCTCCGTATCCCAGATTACCATATCCACTGCCTACTAATCCTTTGCCTCCAAGGACAATTCCTCCTATTCCTTTAGCACCGTAATTTCCGCCGAGTACTCCCTTTCCTCCCAACAAGACTCCTCCGTATCCAATGTTTCCATAACCACTGCCTACTAATCCTTTGCCTCCAAGGAGAATTCCTCCTATTCCTTTTCCTCCTACCAAAGGTCCTCCATATCCGATGTTACCATAGTTACCGCCCATCAATCCTTTTCCTCCTACCAAGACTCCTCCATATCCTATGTTACCATAGTTACCGCCCAATAATCCTTTTCCTCCTAACATGAGTCCGCTATTCCATGATCCACCATACCCACTGTCCCAAGAACTTATTCCTCCGTATCCTTTGTTTCCAAGGAGGACATTTCCTTTACCAATGCCCCCAATGACTCCCAAGTTGCTTCCTTTTAAGCCACCCCCGTAGGATGGGACATAATAGTCAGCAGCCACGGCTATAGCAAGCAGAGGTAGACAGCACAACAGGTTGAACATCCTATAGAGAGCATGGTATTACAGAAATCAGAGAAATTAACATTTGCCAGGGATTCAGAGTAAAATTAATATCTACAGCTCAGAAAGAGAAATTAAGAATAATTATATTTTTTTAAATGTTCATTCAATTGTATTTTATAATACAAACAAGATGTTGATTTTTTTCAGTTCATTTTAAAATTACTTTTATTGAAATGAAATTAGTTTTTTCCTCTGAAAGAAAGTACAGAATTATCAAAAACTTGTAGTTTGGTTGTTGTTGCTTGAATGTTACTTAAGGTTAGTTAAAAAAATGAACAGATAAATAATGGGCAAATAAGGCTTTAAAAGTTCAATTTCCTTTGAGGACTGAATTTTTTTTAGGGACATGGAATTTCAATGCATAAAAACAAAACGTTTTAGTGAAAAATTCTAGCAGAAAATATTTTATTTTTTTAAAATGTGATTTTCCTGTGGATTGAACGCACCCAATAAAATGATAACCCATTCTTCGGTATGATTGAATAATTTTTTCTACGCAGCATAACAAAGATAAAACAAACCACATGTACCTCCATCGTCGCAAACCACGGCCAAAATGTACGATCCTCCCAACATATAGGAGAGAGCTATATGCCGACTCCTGACCGTGGATTGATACGATGGTATACTTCTTACCTTGGACGCGGAGGAACTGCGAGCAGGTTAAAGGAAAAAGATTCTGTGAGGTAACATCGACAAATCTTTCCTATTTATACTCCTACAACAACCAGCTTTAAAGGTTATTTTTTATTTTCAATACCAAGGTGATTTATGCCGAGGTTAATTATTATGGTAATCGTAACTATTTCGTCGTAACCTTTATTGTATTTCAAAAAAACTTCCGGATTTTAATTAGCAAATGTCTTAATGGTCTTCTTAAGAAACATGAAGAATCTTTTCGTCTGCCTAATGTGTCAAACAAAAATTTAGAGACCCCTTAACTTAGTGTCAGTAAAAACTTGCTTGTAGAGATTTCAGTATTGGTTAGAATTTTAATAGATTTGCAGATAGATTCTATTCCCTTGTTTAAATCCATGTCAGTCTTTTACATCCTTTACAATAAAACGAAAGACGTTTTTAAAATTTAAATTATAGAAATTCATGTAGAAAGAAAAGTGATAATTGAGTTGTTTTTGTTTGTTTGATTTCTTGTTTTGTTTTTTACAATTTTGTTCCTTTAAATCATGGTCAAAGAGATAGATCGAATCATTTTTTTTTTGGGGGGGGGGGGGTGCGCTAAGGAATTTCATTTTCGTAACACTACACTCTCAATTTAAAATTGATATCACGTTGCATAGTAATCTTATTGCCTGTTAAAAACAAGCAAACAAAGAAGCTTAACGTATAAGAATATAATTTTACAGTAATGATTCCAAAATATTTTTGTTTTGTTTCGTATGGAATTATTGCGCTTGTTTTAAAAACAAATATTGACGGAGAAATATACAGATCAAGTAGGATGAAATTTAAGTTTGGAGCAAGGAGAGGGAAGGGGGTGGTGGTAAAGAAAAGGTGGTGTCTAAAAAGGAGATTTTCTATAGTTAAATTAATGAGGAAGAATATTTTTAAATACATGTATAGTCTCTCTATAGTTCTCGATATAGTTTTTTATCCATAAGTTTAATTTTGACGACATTACAATTGTACAACATATATAACGAAAATAAAAGTATACAAAAATGTCAGCTTAATTATATGTACATATATTTACGAATGTTATTCACTATGCGCATTATTTGTCGTTTGATTTTTAAATTGTTCATAAAACATCTTATATGTTGTTTTTTTTTTTTTTTTTTTTTTTTTTTTTTTTTTTTTGGGGGGGGGGGGGGGTGGCATGGTACCTTATAATTGTGTAGAGAAAACCTATAAATAAAAATTGTTCCAGAATATTAATCTAATTTAATAAATTTTAATTGCGGTGTTTTCATTAACATTTTATGAAAAATTTCTCATTCGGGGAACACACCTGTCATATTTTTTTCCTCGAACAGCTTAAAAAACAATTAGCAAAGTGATTAGGAGGCGAGACATAGGAAGAGTTTACATGTTTACCTGTAAAGAAGCAATATTAATAAGGAAAAAATACATTCTGTCTTTTGCATAAAAGTCTGCAGAATTCATTAGTATGATGATACATGTACGAGGGCTGTTCAATAAATAATGTTATCCGTGCTCGAAAGGAAGCAAAAGACGTTTTTCAATGATTAAGTCTTTATGATTTAACTCAATTTTTACCTTATTAAAACACATGTCTGTAACATTTTTATCTTATTTCTGATTGTTTTCAGAACTCCTTTTTGAGTATGGCCCTTCGTATACTGGAATATGGCAGATACTATGATTTCCTGGACTTGTTTCGTCTGTCTGAAAGGTGTTTTCTTCACGTTTGAAAAATAATCAACTCAAATGGTGACAGATCTGGCGAATATTGTTGGTATGAAAAAATGTTAACTTTCTGTTTATCTCCAAAACACCTTTACTCTTTCTGATTCTGGTTCAGTTCTCTTAAAATATTTGGATTATTTTGCAAAAAGTTTCCTTTCTAAACTCCTCTAGAAATTGAACTGCCTCACGAATAAGAATTCGAACTACAAGACCACTAATATTTACGAAAATTGCATATACAATATATATTATGTACTAGTATATTATATTTATATATACAATATTTCGCAAAAAGTTTGCTGTGTTTGCATTCATATAAATCTGTCAATTTTCTTTGCTCTTCTCAGACATTTGCTGTTTTTGTCTAGTGCATCTTATTGTAAATTTGAGGGTTTGAAGCAATGGATTCGTGTTTCATTATCTGTTTGAATTTCAGCTGACAAACGTGCATAACCACAATTTCTGATTATCTTAAATAATTTTTTAGATATTTTTAGATGCTGTCGTTTTCACTCATGTTTCAAAACATAAGATGACTATTGAAAACTAAACTTTTTACTGTCAAATGTTTCTTATAACTAGTGTGAACTACCCCCAACTTGATGCCTATCGAATTTGCTATGTGTCTTAACGTCAATCAAACATCGTCAGTGATGCAAAAAATTCATTAATTGTCGCCAAAGACCGTGCCCAAATCAACTTGCTCATGTGTTTAAAAAACAGACATTGGATGCTGTTAATTTCACAAATTTCAGTGAATATTCCTTTGGTTTTCTTTACAAGTTTAACAGCAGCTTTAGCGTTTAATTTCATTCTAGATAACTGATTTTTACCATTCATTTTGAATACATGTATATATTTATAAAAAGTGGTAAAAAAAACCCGATATCAATTCAATAAAGATTCAATCATGAGAGAAAGTCAAGTTAATGCCATATGATATATGTGTTGTATGTCATAGAGTTCAGGACATTATTTATTGAACAGCCCTCGTAATGATTGCTTTCAGGTTTTGTTTAAATTAACTCCTGTGGCTGCAATATATTATGTTAATTTCTAAGAGGGATTCTGCTGATAAAGGACAGAAGGGGATAGTAAATCGTGTACATAAATAACAGAAATCTTTTTTCTAAAAAAAGATTAATCACAACTTCATGAGAAAATACAATAAATTCATGTATATATTATATTTTCTTCTATAAAGCCGTCTAGCAACATTGGATTGAAGATTTTCACATTAAGAAGACCGAGTCGGATTTAAAATTCTTCCCATATGGAAAAAGACTAGGAAGTTCGTAGTATTTTTTAAATTCTTCATCTTTCCAATAAAACAAGTGGAATTTTTCCACTGTCGGATCCAGTAATCCTGAAAAAGAAAGGGGCGAGCAGGTTGGGGTCAATGTAGGGGCCCCCAGCCACACCAAAAAAAGAAAAAAAAATTATGAAATATCTTATACATGTATATTTTGGACAAAACAAAAAAAAACAAAAAAAAACAGGGGTGGGGGGTTGTGCTCAGCACCTTCTAAATCCATCAATACTTTCTGCATTATGAAACTTCTTTCTTTGTACTTACATGTATGCAGCAATATACCTTCATCACCTATACTAGCATGCTCTACGTATGAACAATTTATAAAACGAGGTAAATTATTGACAAAGAAGTTGATGAAACAAGAATTTAAGCAGTCTCGTTTAAAGTCATCATTTCGTAAGTTTTATGGTCGATACAATGACCTTGTCAGAGAATACAATTTATCATTGAGTAAAATGCTGACTGGCGTTTATTTATACTAATTGTTAGTCCATTATTTATACAATTTATTGACGACGAATTTTCCCGTTATTTTCCGATTATGACAAGGAGCACACGGCGGGTGTGACCGGTCAGCAGGGGATACTCACTCCCCCTTGGCACTTGATCCTAACTCCGATATTTTGGAGGTCCATGTTTGCTCTGTCCCTATTTTGCATTGTTTTGTGGACCTTTTGATATTGAATACTGATCACAGTTTATCTTATAATTCTTTTAAATAACTACCAATTGCACTGAGTGAATTCTGCAATTTCAAAAAATAAATAGTTGAAGCTACCAGTATATTTTTAGTTTGTTAAGTTTCAAATAAGGTTTATAATGGAGGCATTTGATTTGAAACCTTTTTGTTAGTATATTTAGAGACATACATACTATTATAAAAAATATGCTAAAACGTCCCTGTTATATATCAGAGACATCTCGTATATATCTCTGTATATATGGTTTATCTTCTCTCGTTTAATTACAAGTAAGTGATTATGATATATATTGCTAAATAAATATATAGCAATCAATCCATTCATGAAAGTTCATAAATGCAAAATCGTATTCATGACATTCATCATGTTATGATTTAAAATAAAAATGAAATGTCATGATAAAATCAACTGTGACATCAATGTTCATTAACAACGTTAAAAAGAAAGATAGGTATTAGTTAAAAAGAATAAGTAGTCGAGAAATATTATGGCAAATCTAAGTTCGAAACACGACAAAGAAACATCAATAAATGGTTATGTAAAAGAAGTTGATTTTAATGAATTCATGGAACAATGTTAAGGATAATGTTATTTTTATCATTGAAGAATGTTATCAATCATGGTATTTTTTTGATGGCATTATCTAAAATTGTGATATATTGTTAACAGTAATTTTTTTCATATGTATAACAATATTTACATTTCTGAATAATTTTTTGCAAACAGAAAGACTGTTCATTTTCTCATGAACTACCATGGATGAGCATGAATATCTCCATTGTTACGTCATAATACCGCACATGACTCCAAAATTATAGTGCAAACTGTTTTGCTATAAAAACGATAATTGAATGGCATAAATTTGATGGCAACTAATCAGAAAAATAATGTAAATACATGTATATGAATCTTCAAAAATTAAATTCAGAGAGAGAGAGAGAGAGAGAGAGAGAGAGAGAGAGAGAGAGAGAGAGCGAGAGAGAGAGAGAGAGATTGTTACATTGAGTTGCAAAAATTTAATTATACATTTAATCATATAATATTGTATGCTGAAAAATAGTTGAAGAATTTAATTTGATGTTTACGGAAATGATAAATAACTAGGCATGTAGGTTAAGTTCAATATTTTGAATTATATTCATCAGTATATTGACGATACAGCTGGTAGTAATCACTCACAGTATTTGGTATAAAAAGTTTGCAGTATTACTATAAAAATCTTGTTTTAAAAAAAGTATAGTCATGCTGTCTAGAGAAAAACTGAGCACGACTTCAAGCATCGAAAAAAAATTGTGATTGAGAACTTATATTTAAAATATTTGTTAAAAAGTCTAGAAAAATCAAATGAAGAAAAATCATGGTTTTAGCATGGTATAAGCTATGAAAATGAATAAAGAAAAGGGGACACAGCTCTGTAAATCTATCCGAATTTCTCAATATATTGGTAAATTGGAAGAAAACTGTTATTTTTCAAAATAATGTGATGTTGTATATTTATAATAATATTCATGCTCGGTCAATATGCTTTCTCTATAGATCTATATATCTAGGGATTGCCCTCATCAAAAGGCTACAGTTGTTTTATTATTTTTTTTATCAGTTACATGCAATAAGAAATGTCATAAAATCCATGTTTCTAATGGACTTGTACGAGATTTTGACAGTCGATGAATTACTCTTACACTTGGACAGTTTATGGAAACTCTTTTACGATATAAATATTTAGCTTAACTTTTAATTCAACGAAAACGACGGATTATTTCAAAGCACAGATAAGTTGATCTTGCAGGAAGCGACATTCAACTTACCCCCAAATCCAGGCCTTCACATATAGTACCTCTAACACCATTACTATGACCACTAGAAAGGTTTTCTTATCCATCATCAATTCCGTACCTCCGTAGATGATACAGGTTTAAATAACCAAGTAAACAGTCAACTGTAAAAGTCAGTGCTTCTTGTAAAAGTCCAATACTCAGTACCCCCTCATATAAGGCATTGTTATGTCATCTGCATCATGACATCACAGTAATGAATAGCAGCTGCAGTATCTGTTTTTAAAAACATCCAGTTTATAAAGACTATTGTGACGTCAGCACTACTGTTGCTTCACAGAAGAATGCTTCCAATTTTAGAAACAGCAGGTTTATATTTTTTTAAAAATAGAAACATCCAGTCTATAACACTTTTTATACTTGATCATGTGATCTAGTTTGAGCCAATCAGTTAGGGGGCAACAATAGAGAAAAATGAAAATGGATTTTATTTAATTGCTGATTTATCAACATAGATAATTTGAACATAAAATGAGTAATTTGAATTTCACGTGATATTCCTCCTTTTGTGATGTCGAAGCAAAAGCGCGTCCACGGAAAATAATGTCGCACGACACACCGTTTGGTTGTACCAAAGTTATGTAGAATGCGACGTCATAATATAAGTAGTTTTATCCATTGTGACGTAATGACAGTCGAGTCTGTTGAGTTAGGACTGTATCAGTGCATCTACTTTGAGTGATTATATAACATAACTATTATGGACTTCAGTGAACGGTCAACATGTTGACACTGTGTAAGGCATAATGCCTAGTAGATACATGTTCCATAGAATTTATACATGTGATAAGGATTCTGAGGACTAAAGTTGTTATTTTGCATTATGACGCAACTGTATTGTAACAGCAAAGTGTTACGTCATGTCAAAAATGGAAGTGTCGCAAGGTCATGACCTTCAATTTAATTGATCGCAAATGAGAATATATATCATCTGTATAGCTATACATGTGACATAGACCTATTGAGTATCTAGTTAGGGTGACACCGTCCAGACTTTTTGAGGCAATCTTTTGATTTAAGGGGGGACCTCGGTCCGAAAAGTCTTTGTGTGAAATTTTCAAAACCTTCATTTCTTTCCTGACCACTTGCTCTTAATTTTTAGGCATTAAAAACAATATCTTTATATGCTTATTTTTACAGGGGGCACGTGCAAAAAACAGTGTGAAATCCTAAAAATAGATTATTTTCAGACATTATTGTTCTACCCCAAATATGCGCTAAAAAGAACCATAAATGGCCAATCACATATAAAATCAACAGGTTTTTAATTTATATGACTTGTATCTTTAAAATGAAGGCAAATTCATTGTAATTCATCTCGCACGAAAATTATAATGGAGCGCAATGTAAGTATCACCCCGTTTTTCTTGTCGTATTTTTTACAATTCCGATATGCATAACAGAAAATGTTATAATTCATATTTTTTGACAGATATGATTCATCTCTTTATTTAAACAAAGAAAAAAGTATACCTTTATGATAGAATAAACGAGGAATCTGACGTTTTCTATTTTTTATTTTTGTACTCTTGTGTCATAAATATTGACCTTTCTGCATTAAAAAAAAAGGCAAGTTAGCACTGACAAACATCTGAATATAAAACTATTTTGCAAAAAACGAGAATTTTTTTTTGATTAGAAACTATTTAAACAGATTAATTCTTTTCTTTTTCATTCCAATAATTCTGCCCCCCCCCCCCCCCCATTTCTCCGTCAACAACCAACACCTATTAGATCCTAGGAATGAATTTATACAATAAAATCTACATGTACTATAAATCAATAAGCAAATATAGGTACAAGTACATTTCTTAATTTTTTTTTCTTAGTTTTATCCAGAAAATACTATTAATGGTAAACATGAAATTAAACATATTTTCCTGATTTAAGCCGCTTTCTTTGCTGAATTTTATCTTATCTTTTTGCTATTTTACATCAGCATATTATCGAGGTATTTCTTTACAACTGAAATTCCTATGAATTATCAACCACAGGAAGAGAATGATAATATTAATAAACTCCATAAATCAAATAAAACTGTTATTAATGATGAATAAATTTTCTTTTTTGTAACTTGTGTACGTTATTGATTATTAACTATGTTTACAATACCTATATCACAGTTGCAAAAGTCAACAGGTAAAAACAAACGTCGCTATTGTGACGTCACATAACGATGCTTTGACGTAGAACGACATAGGTCCCCCCCCCACCTTAACACAGTGACTATTTCACTGTGTGACCCCCCCCCTTTTTCATACAGAAACTAGCAATATGTGTAAAATTTGTTTGACAGCTTTTCAAAAATAATTACAATTTAACATTTTATTGATATTCAAATACCGTATATTCCACACTTCGTGTTTTTTAAAGTGAAGAAAAGTAGAATTGTTGTGTGAGCTGATTCAGTTAGGTTTGAATTTCTCTTCGAAGTCCCCTTTCATGCGTCGACCAATGTCGTAGACATGTGATACTAAATTTGCAATTTCTTGCCTATTTTTATACCAAATTCAACAATGTATGCACCAAAATGTTTGGAATTCTGTCCTCTTTGCACTTAAATACAAAAAAACTGAATTGAATTTTAATTTTCTTTAAGGTAGCGAAACACAGATTCGTATAAAGTCCAAGGGGGGGGGGGGGGTCGCAGAGGGAAGCATGCTGGGTAGGGATTTTCCTGTTATTTATAGGAGTCTACATGAAAACTGCATCTTTTTTTGTTTTTATTCGCATAGTAGAGTCTTATCTTAATAGTTTTCTAAGACTTGTTAATAGGGAGAGATAACTCCCAAAACATCCGGTTTTCACATGTGCAGAATTGCATGAGTCAAGTAACAGGTAATGTAGCTATTTCAAAAGGTGGAAAATGTACCCTAAAAACACAATAAAAGAAAACCCTAGGACTTGTTCTGTGAAATGCACATAACTTATTTTGTCAGATTTTTTCTGTTTTTGTAGAGCAGGGGGACTAAAAATGCATAGGTGCACTGAAAATGGATGCATAAACAACCCAATATCCCCCATGTTCCATGTGTCAAATACCCCCTACTAGTAATTGATGAATGTATCATAGTTGGATATTTATAAAATTCAAAACTTTATCTTTCCATTGATATGTAGAAGTCTATGTAACAAGCCTCCATTTTATTTCTTTATAGGGGTCAGTTTTGCTTGTCCCTCACCAAGTAACGCCCTGATAACGTCATACATAAAACTGTGTTTTGCTTTCTATATAACTGATCACCAGACAGCTCAATGTTACTCTATGTATGAATTATTCGCAGTACATTGTTAATATATAAGATCAGGTCTAGTTATTTATGATTTATTTCGTAATATAGAAAAATGACATTGCCAATATCAGCGTAAATACGTTCATCCAGGTTTTCAATAATAATCCTGAAAACAGAAAAAGGAGATAAAATAATACATTTATGTATATATACCTTCAAAATAGCATGAATTGGAAAATAGATAAATAAAGTCATATTTATCAGCATATAAACGATCATAGCATATTTCATTACCTTGATTCCTACACCAGAGTAGATTCCTCCATATCCCGCACCAAGGTTACTTCCCCACATTCCTTTGCCTCCAAGGACAATTCCTCCAATTCCTTTAGCACCGTAATTTCCGCCGAGTACTCCCTTTCCTCCCAACAAAACTCCTCCGTATCCAATGTTTCCATAACCACTGTCCCATAATCCTTTGCCTCCAAGGATAATTCCTCCCATACTTTTACCGCCCATTAATCCTTTTCCTCCTACCAAGACTCCTCCATATCCAGGGTAACCATAGTTACCGCCCATTAATCCTTTTCCTCCTAAAATGAGCCCGGTATTCCATGATCCACCATACCCACTGTCCCAAGAACTAATTCCTCCATATCCTTGGTTTCCAAGGAGGACATTTCCTTTTAAGCCCCCGTAGGATGGGACATAATAGTTACCAGCCACGGCTATAGCGAGCAGAGGTAGACAGTACAGTAGCTTGAACATCCTATAGAGAGCATGGTAGTGTTACAGAAATCATAAAAATTAACATTTGTCACGGATTCAGAGTAAAATTAAATATCTACAGATCAGAAAGAGAGGTTAAGAATACTAATATTTTTTTTTAATGTTCATTCAATTGCATTTTATAATACAAAAAAAAATGTTGATTTTTTCATATCATTTTCAAATTACTTTTATTGAAATGAAACCGTTTTACAAACTATGAGATTTTTCCCTTAGCTTATATATTCTCTGTTTTAGTTTTTCAATAGTGAATTTAAAGGTCCCTATATCTGTGTTTATAAATTTTAAAGCAGCTTAGTTCTTCGGGTCAGGTTTCTAAATATTTCTTACCTTGGTAGACTAGAAGCAGGTTAGAGGAAAAAGATTCTGTGAGGAAACATCGACAAATCTCTCCTATTTATACTCCTAAAACAACCAATTTAAAGGTTAATTTTATTTTCAATACCCATGTGATTTATGCCTATGTTAATTATTATGGAATTCGTTAGTATTTCGTGGGAACACTTATTTGTATTTCAAAGAAACTTCCGGATTTTAAATAATCAGTCTTAAGAAAATGTATTTTTTCGTCTGCCTTTTATCAACCAAAAATTAAGAGACCCCTTAATTTAGTATCAGTAAACAAATTGCTTGTGTAGCATTAATTTCATAATTAATAAAATTTTAATATATTTGCAGATTCCATCCCTTTTTTTTTAATATTCAAGTCCATTTTTTCTATTTTACAATAATATAACAGACGTATTTAAAATAGAATTAAAGAAATTCAAATTGATTTGTTTTTTTTCATTTTCCTTTAAATCCAACCATTTTTTAGGGTAACGGAAGCGAATAGAATTTTCGTATCATCACACTGATTTTATAAAATACACTCAGTATAATTGTCACCTTGCTTTTACCCTTGCGTTTTAAAAACATAACGTTAATTTTACCCAATAAAATATATAATAATAAATGAATAAATAAATAAAAAAAAAACCCGCTGTACTGTCCTAAACGGGCTCACGAAGTTTTTCTTTTTAATTCTCTTTCTTTTTTTAATTTAAAAAATATTAACAGAGAAAAATAGAGATGCTTTAGGATGAAAGTTCAGTTTCAAGGAAGGAGAGGGGAAGAAGTGGTGGTAAAGCAAAAAGGGGTTTCTGAAAAGATTTTCAGTTAATGAGGAAGAATATTGTCATGTATAGTTTCTCCATAGTTCTCTTAACATTTTTTAAAAACCATAAATTTAATTTAGATTACAATGAAAATAAAATTTTATAAAAAAATAAAATATCAGCGTATAAACCTATATTTACTGTTTTTCACAATGCGCATTATTTGTCGTTTGATATCTAAATTGTTCATATAAAAGAATGTTCATGTATTTCACTTTAATCTATGTAAATTTTAATTTGTAATAATTTATATGTTTGTTTGTTGTTGCTGTTCTTTTTTTTTGTGTTTTGGGGGGGGGGGGGGGTATGATACCTTATAATTGTGTATAGAAAGCCTATAAATAAAAATTGTAGCAGAATTTTAATTCAATTTAATAAATTTGTGGTGTTTTCATTAACATTTTAAGAAAAATTTCTCATTTGGGGAACACACCTGCCATATCTTTTTCCTCGAACAGCTTAAAAAACAATTAACAAAGTGATTAGGAGGCTCATTTTAGGAGACACAAAAAATCTTTTAGATATTTACCTGTAAAGAAGCAAGATCAATGAAGAAAAAAGAATTAAATTAAATTTTGTTTTTTGTATAACAGACTGCAGATTTCATGAGAATGATGATACATGTATGTAGTGATTGCGTTCAGATTTTGCCCAAATTGTTATACCTGCGGATTCAATTTATTTCGTTAATTTCTAAGGGGGGTTTTGCTCAAATTATTATACCTGCGGATTCAATATATTATGTTAATTTCTAAGGGGGATTCTGCTGATAAAGAACAGAAGGGGATAGTAAATCGTGTGCATAAATAACAGAACTCTCTTTTATAAAAAGTTTAATCACGACTACATGAGAAAATACAATAAATACATATGTATAATAATATGATACATGTATTTTCTTCTGTAAAGCCGGTGTAACGACGAAAAGTGACTCCCGTAGAATATTGACCGGTGATCATTTTTCTACGTAGACATTTGACTCCCTGGTCAATATTCTACATTTTTTATATAGAAATTATGGCCTTGGGATCGTTTTTTCCGTTTGCATTGTAGAAAAATGACCCCGTTGAATAATGACCCCTTGTCAATTTTTGATGCAAAAACATTCGTTTTGGTAGGAATACATGTATTCTTATTAGGCGAATGCATACGGGTAATATCAAGCAGTCTTATGATATGAAGTGTTGAATTTTAAAAGCCTTTAAGCTTAAATAAAATAAAAAAATCAAATCTATACTATGCCTTACATTAATAACACAAACCATTTTACATCCATTAAAGAAAAACGATATCTATTAAAATGTTCTAAGACTATTAGAGCAAAGATACGCGCATTTATAGATTTGTTTATTACATTTTATACATGTACAGTAAGTTTCCACAGTTGTCATTTTAATCTTCAAAAAGGTCATTTTCTAGCTGGTGTCAGTAAAAATATTTTAAAAACTTTCCATGATTGTAAATGTCTTTGATTTTACCCTGGATAAATAATTTGCAAAAATCAAAATAAATTTATTTTTCAAACGTTTAACTTTTTTGATATCTATTTTTAAAATTGGCACAACAAAGGAGCTTGCTTAGAAAATTAGATCTTGACAAAAATGTTCAGTTTTCTCTGAAAGAAGTTTCAAACGTCTCATAAAAAAATAGGGATGGTTTAATTTGTATAAATAAGTACTAAATTAACTTGCCTTTCACCTATAATACCAGGGAAACATTACGTGGTTTTCTCAAAACCTTTAAAATGTTTTTTGTCGTTTGTTAGTGTCAACAAAACCTTAACAAATGGGGTTTTAGTATAAAAAAATGATTAACTAAAGAAAGAAGTACTCGTCATACCAATAATTGGCACATGTAGTATCGTTTTTCCCCTTTCTAAATGTACTTAAATGTGATGAGTTTACCAATTGAAATAAAAATGTTGGACTTTGAAAAAATTGTCAATTCACATATCATATTTATGCCCCCGTAAACGAAGTTTTGGGGGTATATAGTTTTTTTACCTGTCCGTCCGCCCCTCTGTTTGTCCGCAAAAACTTTAACATTACCCATAACTTTTGACTGAATGAGACTATATGGCTTTCATATTTCATATGATCACAGGTGTATTTTTGTGACAAGAACAACAAATTTTGACCTTTTGAACTTGGAATTTGACACACGTTTACACAAAAATTCCAAACTTTTACATTGGCCTTAACTTTTGGACGGCATGTGCTAGGACTTTAGATATCGAAGTAATGACATGATAGAGTAAGAGTTTATTTGTATTTGCAAAGTTAGTATCGAAGTTACATCAACCATTTGTCATTTGTCTGTTGGCTAAAAGGTGTTGAAAAGGAAGTTTTCTTAAATGAATTGATAGCTATCTATGAATTATTACGTAGCATTCACTCAGATGTAAATTTTTGCCCGTTTGGGGGGACTTTTTTTTATCATTATAAGAACGTTCTCGAGGTGTATGGTATTTCCCGTATATACAAGGAAAAGTACACTATAGAGCTTCATATAAGATAGTTAAAAATTATGTATTTTAAAGCAGAATACATACAGATATATGCAAGTTTAAATGTAAGGGCTAAGAGAATTGAATTTATATAGTTAAATAACATTGCTATTCTTGCTTCTATGCTATTTTTTTTTTGGATTTATGAAAATTTTAAAAAATGAATTAAGATGATTAAAAGTGCTAATTTCGGGGTCCTCCCTACAAGTTTATGGTTATCAGAAACATATCATGCCATTTTTGGAATAAAACCTTCGAATGAAAAAAGAACACCCAAAAATATAATCATAAATTTGTGCTCCTCAATGAATTAAATTATTCATTGGGATTCTGCAAGCCAAAATAAATCATCCATACCAGATACATTATGATGCTACTATTAAGATATGTAATTTTAAAAAATATATGTTGAAAAGGAGTAAAGTGCATAAAAAATCCCCCTCCTTACATTTGAAAGTATAAAAAAAATATCAGGAGACACAGATATAAGGTTTTATTGTACAAAAAAGTAGGGGGTCAAATTTCTATGGGGGTCATTTTTCAACGTGTGTGGAGTCGTAGAATTACTGGTCTGGAATGTTTTTCTACAAAAATGACCCTACTTGTCGTAGAATATTGACCCTGGGTCAATTTTCTACGTAGAAAAATGACCCCCTGGTCAATATTCTACGGGGGTCACTTTTCGTCGTTAGAACTTTGGATTTAAAAGATTTTCTCGTAAAGAAGACCGAGTTAAATTATAAGTAACTCCCATAAGGGAATAGACCAAAAAAAAAAAAAAATTAAGCGTTCAGGGTTTTTCATCTTACAAATAAAATAGAATATTTTCCAAACATATTTTTTTAAAACACATCTTGTTGAAAAGTAGTACCAGGAATTATAATGGTTTATAGTGGAACAGGACGCTTCCTATTATCTGTCCTTATTTATTCCAGAATAGTCTCATACTGGTGTAAAATAATAAATAGCCCAGGAAAGGAAACTTCATGTATATTATATCAATATTCAGTTGCTAATTCACAATCAGAAACTGGTAAGAATCCTTGCGTTGAATGTGTTCATCGTATTTTTGATTCATGTGTACTATCTCATATTTGGAACGAACAGTTTTATTTTAAACTTAATTAGATTGGGTTACTACTGCTGTTAAGTATGGAACGCCAAATTTAATATACATGTATGCTCAAAAAACACTTATCTTCAAATAATTGTACCTATCTTCAATTCATTTAAACATAGGTGCATGTACAATTGAATTAAAGATAGGTACAATTGAATTAAAGATAGGTGTAAATAATTATACCTATCTCTAAATA